CATCGCCCAAGGGAGCGCCCCCGGTACCTTCCACGTGCCCAGCCCCAGGATGGGCATCTTGGCCCCGGTGTTGAGCTGCACGTAGCTCGCCATGGCCGCACCAGCAGCACCACCGCGGCCGCGGCCGAACCCCGCGCCTTTAATAGCGAGCGGAGCCGGGCCCGCCCCGCCTGGCGCGGCGCGGGGCTCTAGGGGCGGCGCCGAGCCCGGGGCCGCGGCCGGGGAGCGGAGCAGGCCGCGACTGGGGCTTTAGGCTGTGCTCACCGCACACGGGCCCTCCTGCAGCACCTCAGCCCCGGGGCGGGGGTGGCACAGGGGACATGGGACACAGCTGTCCCCACTGAGCTCCTTGTCCCCACAGGGGTGGTGGCCTGGGCTGGTCCCCCTTGCCGGATGCTTGTGGCCCTGTGTGTGTGCTGCTGCAGCGACACGACAGCAGAAACCTCGCTGGTTTCTGAGAGCCAGGAGAAACCTCGCTGGTTTCTGAAAGCCAGGATAAACCTCACTGGTTTCTGAGAGCCAGGAGAAGCTGTTCCTGCCAGCCAAGTGGGACAAACGCAGCTTCCACTGCGAGCTGTGGGTTAGGAGTAATTTAGGGCAGAATGAATCTAAGAAAAACCCCAGCTTTATTTTGAATTTTGGAAGAGGTTTTTTTTGAAAGTGTTTTGAAAGTCTCAGAAGAGGAACAGTGACTTTTTAATGAGTGACATAATGATCGTGTTGTCCCTCTGTCTTTAGGGAGGTGCTGAGGACACTGCAGAATAAAATGCACGATTGTAATCACAGGCAGTAGTGGCCAGCAGTCTCCCATCACAAACTGGCTTTGATGCTCTTGCAGACAAGCATTTGCTGTTCTGCTGAAGACGTCACAGCGCAGTGGAAAAACCCAGACTTGCCTGGGAGGCTTTGCTGCTTATTCACATGTGAAGAGTTTCTTCAGGTGCGAGCGTTTGCTCGGGGTGCCTCTCCCTGCTATCTGCAGCTTCATATTTTTTTGCTCCATTTAGCTAAGGACAGCAAGATAATTGGTTTTCCTCTGTAATGTTCCTCCTGTTTCATGTCAGCACCATCAGGCACCCCTGTCAGGATACGATGTGCTTTCACTTGGATCACAAAACCTTTACGCAACTTGGTGCTTATTGCTTGCTGATTGGGTTGAATTTTCCCTCGTGGTTTCAAGTCAGAGAGATGCCTCCATCCTGTCACAAGAGGCTTCAGGCAAAAGTTCTGTATTTTGTTTTTGCTGTTCTGTATTTTGTTTTTGCTGTTAGCTCTTGTGAGTTGGAGCCTTTCCCCTCAGAGCTGTAAGGCCAGTCAGATTTTCACTGTTTGCCTCTCCCGAAGGTCTGGTGGGGGCCTTGGGGGAAGATGAAGTACTGCACATGTCACCCTGTGACAGCCAGCCTGCTAAATCTCGTGCTCTGTGTCCTTGATAACATGGCCATGTCTTTACAGAGAGCACTGACATTGAGGAACTGCAAGGGGGAGGAGGGTCTTGCTTTCTTTTATTTTTTTTTTCCTTGATCCACGTGCACTGGAACAGGAGGAGCAATCTCATCAGTTTTCAGTTTGTTTTGCTGACTTTGCATTTAGCAACTGTAATTTCACCACAAGTTGTTACTTTGGTGACCAGCAGTGTTTGGAATATGAGAACAGGGCCCAAAATAAGGAAATGGGTATGTCCTTATGGACAATGTTTACCAGAGAGACCCACTGAGAACACATGAAGGCAAAGTAGGGAAGTGACAGTGTTGCAAGGTGTGATCACACCTAGGGGAAGAGCTGCAGGGGTCTGTACAGACACAGGCATAGCTTAAACCAGGGTTTGGAGGTGAGGGCACGCAGGTTTCACGCTTGACTCACTGGGAAGCACAGCAGGAATTTCTGCTTTGCTTGGAGGGGAGATTTATCTTGCTCAGTGGGGGTTCCAGTTCCACCTCTGGATGCCAGGAGGCAGATCTCAGGGGCTTGGCCAGCCCTGGTGTAGAAGACCTTGGCCACTTTTTCACTCTGAGCTCAGAACAGCCCAGGAGCGTATCTTGGTGGCTCTCCCATATTCTCAGAGCTGATGAAGCTTTTTGTCCTCATGCTTTTGTGCTTTAATTGCACCTGCTGAAATAACAAGCTCCGGGCACAGCCGAGGATGGGGAATTGATCTTTCCACCCCTCTGTGGTGATTATTGTGTGGGAAGGGCAGGTTTAGTGCAGCAGGGGAAGCCTGGACAGAGGGAAACCATGAACTGCCCCAGACTGGTCAGAGCTGATTCTGGCTGGCTCTGAAACTGGTGCTGTACTTGGGATGACTGAGTTCTGGCACATGGGAAGCACCAGTGTGTCCCCCAGAGTCCCACTGGCGCCTGAGAAGTCCCCGCCTCACTCCAAAAGGGGCTCCTGTGGGCTGGTCAGGACAGGGGCAGCCCTGGGGACAGTGGCAGCCCTGGGGACAGCACACTGCTCACCCAGGAGCTCCAGGACACAGTAAGGACTGAGTGGTGAAAGGAAGCAATGGGCACCCAGCATCACCCTCTGAGCCACCCTTGGTTCCAGGGAGGGACTGGGATGTGGAGAGGAGGACAGGGGGTGAATTGGTGTTTGGCTTAAACACAGGCTGGGGAAGGGGGAGAAAGGCATTTACTCATTTGCTCTTCTGTTTTCTTTCTTCTCTAGTCAGTTACCCTGAGTCCCAGCCCAGAAGTGGAGCAGTGAGAAGAACTCTGGAAGGAGCAATGATCCTGGCCCTGGGAATACACAGTCCTGGAAGTGGAGCAGCCAGTGCATGTCCAGGGGGGAGTACACACAGTGTGCAATTGCCTGAAGAGAGGAGGCACCTGGGCAGGAAGATGACTTGGAAGAGAGAAACAGATGCTTTCTGAAAGCTGATGGCAAATGAAAACAAAGCCTCTTCAGGCAGCCTGAGTTGCTAGGTTAGGTAGGCCTGTGGAGGTGGGAGTGCTGCTCCCCAGAATCTGAGTGCTCTCTTGACAGTCCTTTGCTCAGAATGAAACTGCAGAAATATTGAACACTTAGTGAACTGTCCCTGCATTAGCTGTGTCTGTGCTGGGATACTGAAGCAAGTGGGATGCAGGTTTTTGCCTTGTAAGAGCAGAGTTCTGGGAAGTTTGGGGTCTCTGCTACTAGCAGAGACTGTCCTTCCCAAGGGAGGAAGGCTTTAGGACCCACCAGTGAAGGGCTGTGAGGAGAAATCATCTGATTCTGCTGATCCCACGGGTGAGACTCCCCTGCAGTTTCTTGGACTGCTGGGTTGAGTTTACAGGCAAGGGGAAAGGGACCCTGAAAAAGTGGTGATCACTGATGCTGTTGCTTGAAAGCTGCAAGGTCTGAGCACAGTTACTGCTGGCATCACTTGATAAGCTGTTGGGACACCAAAGAGTGACTCACACGCCTTGTTCTGGATGGTGAATGCCAGGAGATGGGCAGATCAGTGCCACAAGCAAGGATAGTGATGGAAGTTCAGCTTGGAAAGCATTTTAGAAGTGGTTGGAAAATATGTTGACTGTTGCAGTGTTGATGCTGATAATTTTGTCTGTGGGAGAAGGGGTGGGTTTGGGATATGTGCATTATGTTTGCACTGGTGAGGTGTAAACTACACTGGTCTGCAGGGGCAAGGGGTGGAGTTTATAGTGAATATGCAGTCAGATGATGATTATAGTAAAGATGGAGTTTGAATAAGGGTGAAACAGTTCTTAACATATCTTTCAATAAAGTGCAGGGTGGAATGTAAAGAACATAAATTGCAGATGGTATCAAGGGATGGCAGTGGTGACCTGTGTGGAGACCACTGAAACAAACACCCTGTCTCGTGCTAGAATTGAAGCTCACAGTACTGTGACTCAGGAGTACTTCTGGAGACACAGGTGCACTTTTTGAAGGAGATCCATGCTGCAAGGACTTAATTCCAAGGGGTCTGCAGCTGGTGGATGAGTTATACTTGAACAAGGAAACCACTGAGAGCTCTATGGGCACTGTGTAACCTGTGCTGGAGAAGGTATTCCCTAAAAAGACAGTGCTCCAAACTTGTGCATCATAGTAACATTGTACCTTAATTGTTCAATAAAAATGTGTATTTGATCTCTGCAGAGCCAAGTCTCACCTCAGCCTGAGGACTACAGAAGGTTTTATGGGTTGCTTTCTTTAGGAAGCTGCAAAGCAAATGTTCTTGGATTACATTTTCATGAATTGAAAGTGGAAATTTTGGAAAAGAGTCCACAAGGTGCTCATTTTGTTCAGCCAAGGTTTTGATCTTTTGCTTTGAAAACCCACTGTGCAACTTCAGGATTGTGTTTGGCCACCTGCCCAGGTGCTGGGAATGGAAAGGTGACACAGCCCCAAAAGCAAATAGCTCGTGATGTCACCTGGGGCTGTCACCAGGGGCAGTGGCAGAGGGTGGCTCAAGGGGGAGGTGGATGGAGCTACAGGGGCATTGGTACGGCCAGGAGAGTTTGGCCCCGAGGCTGACGGCGCCAGAGGGGATGCTGGCACTTCGGGGGCTGAGCTCCCCGCGCTGTGTGACATCAGGGACATCAGTCCCTGCACTGCCGGGGAGGGGACAGCGCGGGTGGCTGAGGGATGGCCGCCCTCTGCTGCCCGCAGGGGAAGGGGAATGTGCCCTGTCCCAGGGAAAATCCACACGCTCAGGAGGAAACCTGACTGGAAATACTGCCAAGCACACACCTCTCTGTTTTCTCCTTATGAAGTTCTGTTTGTTTTGTTTTGTTTTTTTTTTCCCCTAAGGGAAAGTTTTTCCTAAGTAGAAAAATCTCCTTTTATCAGTTACTTCTGGAGTGATTAAACTGCTGGCCTTTAGTTCACATTTCTCAGATTTTTCTCCCATAACTGCCATCTATCCTCCTCAGCCTGTTGTGTTGAAGCAAGAGAAATTAAAAATGTGAATGTGTAGTTCAAAGTCTCTCCCTCGCTAAATGTGGATTACCCAATCCACATTTTGATAGAAAATTATTACAGCCCCCATTTTATTCTTTTGGAGCAACTTTACTGTTTTTTTTAGAAAGAATAAACAAAAGATGAGCACTGAATACATATACTGTGACTCCCCTGGCTGCAGGAGGAGAAATGCAAGAAGAAAGTCAGATAAATTCATAGGAAGAATATCAGACCAAGCTCTGAAGAAAGGCAGGATATGAGCATCTTCAGTATTCTGCATTGAATGGGTAGTCCTTGTGAGTTTTGCCCCTGCAGGGAATAGAAGACTTCCTTTTAGTCATAATTTTCCCTTCTAGTTTTGCTTAAAGAAGCCACTAAGGTGGGATCTGAACTCTGTAATTGAAGGATGGGTTCAGTCCAGATTTGCTTTCCTCTACAGGATGTCTTTTTTGTACATTTGGAACATCCCAATTACTTCATCATTCAGGCTCTTGGCATTCTAGGCAGTATTTAGATGTAACATCTCTGTGTATATGGTATTCTTAACTTGGTTTGGAGAAGAATACTGAATGCTATCACTTACATGCTCATTGTATAGACTCTCCAGTTTCTGTTAAAGCTGAAAATAGTTGCCATGTCCTCTTTGGTCAGTTTGAAGTCAAACACCTGAAAAGAGAAACAGCTGGGAATCACATCTTTGAACAAACCAGAGAGGTTGTAAGCTCACAGAGGCTGTAAGCAAAATCCACAAAATTAAAGAACAAGTCTGCAAGGGAGGGTAGCTGGTTGGAAGACATGACTGCTTCATGAAAAAGGCATCTCTGTGTCACCAAGAATGCACAAAAGGCATCTCTCTGTCACCAAGAATGCACTGGCAGAGGGAATAGAAAAATTCATCCAAAGTTGCAATTACACATGCCAGCTGTTGCAGGGCACTTGGCAGGCTCTTGCATCTGCCACTTGTGAGAGATGCATCCTTCTGTCCTATTCCAAAGGCACATCTACAAGATTTCCATATTTCACTTAATCTATCTAGGCTTTTTGAAATCCCAATGACCAGCTGCAGTCAAAGACCACTGAATTTACAATAGAGCAGCATGGTTTGTGAATACCACAGCTGTTTTCTTAACACTGCTTGCTCTACATAAGCCTTTTGTGGTGTGCTGCTGCACTCAAGTGCCAGTGAAAAGCCATGTGGCAATTCATCTCCAATCTGCAGAATACAAGACACCACATAAAGTGACTACTAGAATTACCAGCATACAAAAAAAAAGGACTTGGTTCATTCCTGCTCTCCAACTGTAACCTCTAGTTTAGCCCTTAGCAGAGTGTGTAAACAGACAAAAAGCCTGGTCTTGCCTGAGCAGGGAAGAATGATAAAGGATCTTTTCCCTTGCTGTGCAGGGAGAAGCCAAACCATCCCTGAGGGGCAGCCCCTGCTCACTCCTGATCCCTCACCTGGAAGTTCTCCACAATGCGCTGTGGGGTGACAGATTTGGGAATCACAATCACATTTCTCTGGATCTGGAAGCGGAGGAGAACCTGCAAGGACAGACAACTGAATCATTCCTCTTGCTCTGGAGGAAGCAGAGCCTGTTCCAGCAGCTGTTATCTCTGTTTCAAATCATTCCTGTCCCTGCAGCCCTGGTTGCCCTCCCTGAAGAGCAGAGAGGGAAGTGCTGGAGCCTCACATGAAAGGGCTCCTTTCCCATCCAGGTTTGGGCCAGTCAAGCCTTCCTGCTCTCCCAGACTTCTGTCAAGATTTCATTCTCTGCAAGAGGACTTGAGATGATGACTGAAACATTCCAGCACTTGAAGACAGGTCAAGAAAATGTTTCATGATGACAGTCAGAGCACACCTGAGAGTGTGCATTGCAGGCCACACAGAAAACAGAGCCTGCACTGCTGCCTCTCACACAGGTGACAGGGAACAAAGAGCCAGCCTGTCCTCTACATTGTCATTAGCTGTCCTGTGTTACAGGAAGGGGTAGCCACAGTCTGTGTAGTTCAAAGTCTTTCACTCACTAAATGTGGATTACTCAATCCACATTTTGACAGAAAATGAGCCCCCATTTTATTCTTTTGGAGCAACTTTACTGTTTCTTTCAGAAAGAATAAACAAAAGATGAGCACTGAATACATATGCTGTGACTTCACTGGCTGCAGGAGGAGAAATGCAAGAAGAAAGTCAGATAAATTTATAGGAAGAATATCAGAGCAAGCTCTGAAGAAGAGCAGGATTTGAGCATCTGGCATCCATGTACCTGGGCTGTGGATTTGTTGTGCTTGGCTGCAATTTCCTTGATCTTGGGGTCATCCAGAAGGGAAGGATCCTCTGGCTTAGCCCTACACAGGGGAGAGATAACACCAGAAGTCTGTTTTGAGATCAATGGCTAATAGTACACTCACTGTCTCAGTGCTGCAAGCATTATCCATGCCAGCTCCCTCACAAATTGCAAATCAGCCTTACCATGGTCTGTCAGGGGAGCCCAGGGGGCTGTAGGCTGTCACAGCAATCCCTTTGGATTGGCAGTAGTTCACCAGCTTCTCCTGGGTAAGGTATGGATTGCACTCGATCTGCCAGCAGAAGAGTACAGAGACTGATAGAATGCAGCTGTAGCTCACTGCAGGGATTATCCCCTAATCATAATAATCCCCTTAAAGGCTGCTCTTTGTCCTCATGGGCCACTCTTTGCAAAGTGTTGTCAGCTTTAGGGTTCTACAGTGACATTTCTTGTACCTCTCTGTGTTTGCTCTGGAGAAAGAGCATTTCATAAGGCTCACTTCTGGGTTCATTGGCATGTTCTCAGGCCCTTCTCAGATTTCTAAGCAGTAGCTTAGTAAATATTGAAGACCCCAATGCCCTGTGTATTCAGCAATAATGTGGAGTGGGATGAGAAGGACATGCTGCATCTGCTCTGTTCTCCCTCCCAGTCTGTTCTAGACATCAAAGCTCCCTTTCTCAGGAATTGGTGCCCCTTTCTTATCTGCTATAGGTAGGAAAAAGATGGTTTTTTTCCTTTTGGCATGCTCTTTTTTTTTAACTACATGCAGAGGAAGGACTGGCAGGCTCTGGAGACTGAGGGAACTCAGTACTCGTAGTGAATATGCAAAAAGTTCTGAATTCAGAACTGTAAGAGATGTCTGAGTCTGTCCAAGACCCCTTGAAGGGATAAACTTCTGCAGCTCCTGCATACAAAGGGGCAGTTGCTGCTGTATGCAGACAAAGACTAGGTAATTTATATATATATATATATGTGTGTGTGTAAAACTCCTTTATTTTTTATTTTACATAAATCAGGACAGATACCAGGAAGCCACTAGTGTGCCAGAATATGCTGCTTCTGTATAGAAGTTAAAACTGACCTCCCTTTCCAACTGGGTGACTGAATTGTGGATTCCTGCATGACAAAAACCACATGATAATTGTGTGAGCAATTATCTTCTATTAATAACAGATTGATGCCATTACCAATAACAGAACAAGTATTTTAAGAAGTTCTTGTAATTTGTGTACCACAACTTCATTCCCTATCAGAACGCAGATCTACAACATCTTTATGAGTACTCAGAAATAATCACAGGGTGTAATTGTGCTGTGTTTGCTTTGTTCTTTCTCTTTGCATCCCCTCATGCAAATTACAAGCTGTAATTGGATCTTGATAATCCCACAAAACCTGCAATCACTTTGCAGCTCACCTGGACATTTGCAGGCTTGTGCTTCAGTCCTGGCTTGTTCAAGATTCTTTCAATCTGCTCATGGTTGAAGTTGGAGACTCCAATGGCTTTTACCAGGCCAGCATCCACCAGCTCCTCCATGGCCTGGCAGAAAGGGGAGCACAGTCAGCACCAGTGTACAAGACAGGCCCTGAAGGAATTATTCTTTGTGTGGCTTTATTTCCATTCATGGGCAAGGAAAGACAACTGTTTGGAGCTGCCAAGATTGTCTCTTGGGGGAGAGTGACCTCTGGTGCATTTGTGCCACGTCTTCCATCTCACCCAAACCCAGGGGCTCCTTTCTTGAGATGGCAGAAATTCTCTCTCAGTTATTTTCTCATGGGAAATAAGGATAATCAGTGATGTGTTCTTGAGCCAGCACCAGAGGGCTGTAGTGCAGGCTGTGGGTATGATCACAACCTAATTTATTTCAGCAGAGTGTATTTGAGCAATTTAAGAGCGGTGAGGACAGTTCTGTTGTGGTCAAACAGTCTGGCTTGCAGATGCACTAAAGGATTGAGCATGTATGTTTTGAAAAGCTACACTGTATATGGTGCAATAAATACATAAGAACTTTGTGGCTGCTGAAGGCAATGAAAGCATGGGAAAGCAACAGAAAACATGATTTCCCCCCCTGGCTGAACTTACCTCCCATGTATCTAGAAAATCTGTATTGCTGGGGATAGCCATGCCTTTGTCATCTGCAGGAAACAGCTCCTCTCCTGCCTGTCAGTAAAAAAAAAAAAAAAAAAAGAAAGATTTAAATACTCTTTTTATTGGCAAGTTAATACCAAGACAACTGAAGACCATGATGGCTTTAGCTACTAGTACAGAAAATATTAATATTTGTCTACATTGTTCCTGGCAATTTTGCCAGCAATCATTCCTAGTAGGAATGATGCAGAATCGCTCCTACTAGGAATGTCAAGTGAATCTCCTAGACCAAACAAAGTAGTGACTCACTAAAACACATACAGATGAACAATTGACTTATTTATTGTGGAACAAAAAAGCTTCCTGTAGTCCTCTGCTATTCCTTTAAGAGAGAACTGGGGTAGGTTTTTTTTTGAAGGATCTGTTAAGGTCCCAGGAACATTTAAGTACAGTTTAAGCTGAGCCACATCTACTGAAGAAGATTTTATGTAAACACACAGGTGTCCTATGAGGGGAGCCTCAGCTTAAGTTGGTGGCAAATCAGAACACCCCAGATGTACAAACTCAGAAATAGAGCCCCACATCTGCACATTGCTCCCCATCCAGTGTGCAGCTGTCAGAGTATTATGCCATGACACTTTTACTCAAGCTCTTTGTTCACATAAAACTAACCATGACAGCTTTGCAAGTGTGACAAACAGCTGACAAGCTCAAAAGCAACAGATAGGATGGAGGTCTTAACCTGTCTGCAGCAGAAAGAAAAAGCCAAGACTAGACACAGACTCAGACATCAGATCCTTTGAAGTACATGAAGGATGAGATGTATTTCATGTACTTCTGACATGGATGTCACAAAGTCTCACCTTTTGAAATCCTGGGTCTGTGGAACAACTTTAAGGCTCCTACAGCAAAGGTCAGATCAATCTGTACAGTATTAAGGACTCAGTGATTAAAGAAAGAAATGGAAGACAGAAACATTCTCTTGTTCTGTGATTCTGTAACACGCAGAGGAAAGAATTTCTGTCAGGCAGCAAAGTACATCCTTCCTTCCCTCAAAGCAGGAAAGGATGGTTTAGCCCAAAGTTAAGCAGCATGAGTCAATCTTGCAGCCAGAGGCCTGACCTTGTTGCTGGGGCTGCCTCTCTGTTATCAGGAGGGCAGAGGACGCTGTGCAGGCAGCTCTGGGGCAGAGATCAGGGGCACAGCAGGGCAGGGTGGGCAGCACTGGGGCAGGGCTGGCACAGCAGGGCAGGGTGGGCAGCACTGGGTCAGGGCTGGCACAGCAGGCACAGGCTCTTTCTGGAGCAGCAGTGGTGCTGCAAGTGCTCCTGGCTCTGCTGAGGAGCTCTCCCAGGAGAGAAAACCAAGGGCCCTGCTGCTACTGTACCTTGAACCCCAGAGGCCAGTGCATGAGGTAGAGATCCAGGTAATCCAATTTCAGGTCAGCAAGAGTCTTCTGGCAGGCTCCCTTCACCAGATGCTTCTCATGAAAAGTGGACCACAGCTAGAGAAAAAAACAAGGCACGTTGTGACCTCCTGGGTTAAAGCTTTCCCGAAGAAGGAAAGAAAGCTAGCACACTTTCTGGGACCATTTCTGCTTAACATGTGTTTAACAGTCCCATGAAAATGGAGAATGTGGAATACATCTTAAATAACACTCTATAAAATACAGTGACAAAAAAAAAAAAGATTTTACCAAGCATGGGCCTGAACTATTCTCCTAATTACTCCACACTATAGCACACAGCCTTTCCCCACTACTCTGAATTTCCCTCTATGCATATGCAAAGCTTTCCCCTGGATCCTTACCTTGCTGACAATGAAGAGATCTTCTCTTTTCACAACACCTTCCTTGATTTTCTGCTGGATCCCTTCCCCAATCTCACTCTCATTCTGGTACACGTAGGCACAGTCAAAGTGCCGGTACCCGGCATCGATGGCAGCCGTCACTGCAGCTTTTACCTGCCCAGCTGCAGACTGGAAAAAAGAAGGTTAAGAAGATCCCAAATCAGAGCATACAGGCCATTTATTAGTTATCTAGCAACTAAAGAAACATACAATTTAAGCAGAGTTTTTCCATGCCATGTTCTTAAAGCACTCATCATCTTAAAAATGCAGGCTGCTATAGGAATGTGCTCTTTGTTGACGGAGTGACAGACAAAACTATCTTTTGTCCCTTCAGAAAGGAAAGAAGTTCAGAAGTTTTTCTCTTCCATTAAGTGAAAAAGCCACTTCATAGGCCTAGGGGACTTCACCTCAAACTTAAGGATAGCTAATTGGACAGAAGCCAAAAAGTCCCACTTGGGCAATTTACTGGAAAAAGAAGAGAAGAAAGAAACTAATGGCTTTTGTGAGGTGTTTTACCAGGAGCAAGAACCTCTTGCACTTGGCTTGGTTTTCCTCTGTTTGTTAATTTGCCTTTTATTAAACTTTTTTGTTTCCAACACTGCAGCAGAAGCTATCTTGTTGATTTTATGTTTCTATTAGTAGAGTTTTTCCATGCCAAAGCTCTCTTCATCTCACAAATGCAGGCTGCTGGGTTTGAAGCAAGCCTCCAGCCATTTATCCATTAGCCCAGTCCCAAGCAGGCTCAGCCAACAGCCAGGTACAGCAGAGCCCCCAGCACTGCCAAAAATGACCAGGGAAAACTAAGTTTTGTGCCAGGGAGTTCTGCAGAGCCCTTTGCTCAACACTCCTTGCTTCCCAGTGCTGTGTCTAGGAAGAGAAACAGTCAAATGGCCCAGCTGGGAGAATTTTAATTCTATGGGGAGGGCAGTGGTCTACACCTTAGTCATCCACATCACTTTGGAGTGTTACACTGTGCTCTAGCCCAGCTTGCCTGGGGCACATCCCCCCTGTAGTTGGAACCTTATGTCAGCTGCTTCCCTCAGAGACAGAGGAGGTGTGTAATTCTATTTGTTTCTGTACCCTGCAAGGGTGTGTAAGAGCTGTGCACAAAGAAATGTTGGCATATCTTGTTCACACAAATCCAGCAATGTTTGTTTCTAGGCATTGTATAGATCAGTGGTTTTGTAGTCATCGTAACAACAGTGCAAACCTCTTTGTCAGAACTTGCTCAAAACGCATGAATGGTCTTCTAAAGCCATCGGCTGATTTCCGGGGACCTCGCCCAGATTGCACATCACGGGAGCAGCAGGGAGGGCTCCAGTGCAGTGGCACGGGAAGGGGCAGGGAGAGGGGCCCGGGGAGCCGCGGCAGCCTGGTCGGGATAGCAGGGGATGGATGGATGGATGGATGGATGGATGGATGGATGGATGGATGGATGGATGGATGGATGGATGGATGGATGGACGGACGGATGGGATCCGCGCATCCCTGGCGGGTATGGGAGGGACGGAGCCGCCGCCTCTCCCAGGCTGGGGACACCCAAGCGCCACGTCTCCCCCGCGGCAGGAGGGGGACGGCGGGGAAGGAGGGCACCGCAGGGACGGAGGGCACGGCGAGGAAAGCGGCTTTGAAAGCAGAGCTGGGGCTGTGCCTGCGGACACCAGCGGAGGGACAGGGCATCCCCGGCAGCATCCCGGGCGGGATGTTGTGGATGGCGGCGGGGACGTGTCACCGAGCCGAGCTGTCCCCGCTCCCTGCGCACCCCTGAGCGCTCCGGACCCCTCCGGAGGAGGAGCCCGCCCCTCTGAGAGCGAGCGGCCGCTGTCCCCGTTACCTTCCATGTGCCCAGCCCCACGAGGGGCATCCTGGCCCCGGTGCAGAGCTGCAGGCAGGTGGCCATGGCTCCAGCCGGGAATGCTGCCCGCTAGTACCGCCCGCCGAGCCCTTTAATGATGGCAGAGCCGTGCCCGCCCCGTCGCGGGCCCCGCCCGGGGCAGCCGCCGCCCCGCAGCCCGAGGGACACCGGGCCGGGCTGGGCTGGGCCAGCGCTGCTTCTCCCCGAGCCCCCGCAGCTGCAGGGTTCCCGCCGAACATGGGATGATGCTTGTGGTAACAGGAGAAAAAAGGTGATCTGCTTTGTAGGGGTAAATTAGAAAGCAGTTATTTTAAAGAAAAATGTTGGTTTTAGTGTTGGGAGAGGCTTCTTTTAAAATGTTTTTTGAAAGCTGCGGAAGAATAATAGATGTTGTGTTGAAACTTTGCTTCATGCTGGTGGTTGGAGAATCATTCAGTTGGCAATAGTGCATTTTTCTCTGTGTGCTTTTCCCACGGCAGATGCCCAGCTGCTTTTGCTCTTTTTCTGCCCTGCTTACCTGAGGGCAGACGATAGTTTCTCTCTCTAATAATCCTGTTTTTTGTCGGCACATTCAGCCATCCCCAGCAGGATGTGATGTTTCAGTTAACATCACAACATAGTTACGTAACACAGTGCTTGCCTTTTACTTTTTTTTCTCCCCCCGGATTCCTTCTCTGTACAGCTGCTCTGAGCATGCTCAGACTCTTGAGGTTTTGTTCGGGGAACAGTGAAATCAATGGAAAGGTTGTGATATTAGGAGAACAGTATTAAACCCAAGCTGTTTGCATGAGAGGCCCTGCTGCCGTCCTACTCTGGGGGTTTTCCCCCAGTGGTTTTTTGACTGAGAGGTCTCTGTCTTTTAGAAAGGATTTTGGGCAGAAGGTTTGCATTTGCTGCAATGTATCCAAAGTCCTGTCTCCCATAACCAAAGTGCTCAAGCCAAAAGCACAAGTTTTGTTCACACCTCATTTGAGAACAAAAGCTTCCTTCTTTTTAATCACATACAAAGGCCAAGTTCTTTCTGAATCTGTCAGGGGGTAAGGGAACACCAGACAATGTGATAGGGTTAAACTGGATTCACCAAGTTCATCAATGAAGGAAAAGCCTGGCAGAGAAAATGTGACATATGCACTGAAGGAGTCTTGGTACATATGAGCTATGGGTGATAAAGAGACAGGAGAATGATACCTGGAAATATTCACAATGTATAGTAGTGTGTGCCCCTCATAAAGTATTCCAGTGAGTCAGGGTGGCCTCACCTGGGGGAAATACAGCACTCAACCCTGACCTGTGTCAGGCTCTGGGCAGTGGCTCAGCACTAACACATGCTCTTACACCTCATCATTTTGGATATCTGCATGGGTGTAGTCATGTTTCCCCATAGTCTGTTTTATTGAGGGTTTGTAAAGCTAGATCGATGCCAGCACAGCCTGGCAGCCAGAGCAGTCCACACTTTGACCGCAGAGCTTTCCAGAACTTCCAGTTATTGTTCTCCTGGCACTTTCATACCATATGTACCAAGACTCCTCCCACAATTCTTGTCTGCACCAAGTGGTCAGTCATGGTTCATTATATCCGGTTATTTTAACTCCTAGTCACGGCAAGTTCTTGATGCTGCTGTGACATTCAGTCTCTCAGCCTTTCTGTCATCTGTCAAGCACCTTTCATCCATGCACTCACACCTACAACCCAACGATGTGCAGTGCAAGTAGCTCAAGCTTGTCTAGGTGTATCCACCCACTGCATGCTGAGTTAAACATAGTACAGCACAAGTACTAAGTCAGTCAGCACTGGGCCCTAATACTCTTAATGTGGTATTTTCTGAGACCCCTGTCAAAGGGAGGAATGATGAATCTGAGTCCATGTTCTTAGAAGGCTAATTTATTATTTTATGATCTATATTATAATAAAGAATGCTATACTAAACTATACTAAAGAATAGAGAAAGGATGCAGACAGGCTTAACAAGATACTAATGAAAAACTTATGACTCTCTGGACAGAGTCCAACACAGCTTGGTTGTCATTGGCTAATAAGTAAAAACAATTCATATGTTGGATAAACAATCTTCAACCACATTCCAAAGCAGCACAACACAGGAGAAGCAAATGAGAGAATTTGTTTTCCTTTTTCTCTGAGGCTTCTTGACTTCCCAGGAGAAGAATCCTGGGCAAAGATTTTTCAGAAAATATGACAGTAACACTATTAACCTTCACAAATGCTGTTTTTTGTTAATCATCTTGTTCTCAAGGAAGTCTCTTGACCACTCAGTTGCTCAAGACACAGCTCAAACTTCACATGCCTTTGTCAGAGCCCAGAGCTTGGTCTGGTGTGGATGTTATGATCAGAATGCAGATGTTCTGCAGGTGTCCTGTGCCCACCAGCCCGAGGCACACATGGACACCTGAACTGCCACAGTGTCACAGCACCTCCCTGGTATCCTAGCACTGCCCAGCCAGGCTCACCTGCACCCTCCAAGGAGGGAGAGGCTTTCTCAGGGGCAGCCTTTACTCGTTCACCTGGTTACAGTGAGCAGAGACCTGTCCCAGTGCCTCAGCACAGCCCAAGGGAACATAACACTGCTCCAGAGCCAGGCTCTGGGCAGCAGCAGCTCAGCATTAACAGGTACCAGTTCCAGCAGGCACCCTCTGCTTCTGTGCTGCACCAGAGCCCTGCTTAACACTGCTGATCTCCCCCAGCCTCTGTCACTCTGGGCTTTTGATAGCCAGACAGCAGCACTGGCTACCAACCAAACCAGCCCACAGTGATACCAGTGCAGAGCTTTCCAGCAGTTTCAGGCGTTGGGTCTCCTGTTGCTTGTTAACCTACAGTCCACACTAAGGCTTGTGTGGTGATGTTCAAGGGTCTCCAGGATGAGGGAAGAGGTGAGAATCCTGACTCCATGTTTCAAGAAGGCTGATTTATTATTTTATGATATAAATTATATTAAAAATGTTATACTAACACTATACTTAAGAAAGGGGAAAGGAGACATCAGAAGGCTAGAAAGGAATGATAATAAAAAAACTGTGACAGCTCACAGCCTCAACACAGCTGGCTGTGGTTGGTCATTAAGTAAAAACAATCCACATGAGACCAATAAAAGATGCATCTGTTGGTAAACAATCTCCAGTCTGAAGAGAACTTCCAAACAAGCAGTAATTCAAATATTTTTATTTTGGTCAAAAATGAAATTGAACATCAATCTCTGTCCAGTTTCAGCCTGTAAAAAAGTGACTGAAATAAGGCCCAGTAGGAGTTACTCATCTATAGGTCTGGACACTTCTCCCATTTATTCTTATTTCCCAGAAAGCTTTGGGCTGTACTCTAGAAGTTAATTTTGTCTTTTACCTTCAGGAAGTGATTATGTGATTATTCAGGATGGATTTTTCTCCTGTACTTACATATCCTTAACCCTGCAGCCTTAAGTGGTGCTGATGCAAGACAGTAGATAAAAGTCAGTTGTTAGTTCCCTCTTCTGTTTTCTCCTTTGCTATTTCAGCCATGCAGAGACACTCACGTAATGAGAATTATCACAGCCCACACTTTGTTCTTCAGAACAACTGTGCAATTCCCTTCCACCAAAGAAGAAAACCCAAAGTCACTGAACACATATCCTGTGCCTTTGCTGGGAGGAGGGATACAGTGTGTCAGCTACATAGTGCACAATTTGAGGCAATGGTAGAAGCTCATTAGACCCTGGGGGCCTGAGAGAGGCCAGGAAAAGAACCATCTTCAGTATTCTGCATTGAAAGGGTACTCCTTAAGATTTTTGCACCTGGAGGAAATCAAAGAGGAAAGATTACTCAAGGCTAAAATAATTGCTATATAGAACAACAGTGGGTGTACAGAGGAGCCTTCAAAGGAGGCTCTGAACTGAATAACTGCAGAGTAAACTTAATAGATTTGATAGTATAGAAACAGCTTACAGGACCAACACATTCCAGCCTTTTTCTATTATTCAGGCACTGAACAGTGGTGGGACCAAGTTACTTTGTAGATACAGAGTTAAAATTCACACTGCTTACAGAGACAGCAGCAGTTTCTGTGGCCTTGCAGCCAACACTTCCTGTCTTGGTGCATATTCTGCAAGCAGCTGTGCTTTGTACTGCACAACAGGAGGTCATTCCCCACCACAACCACCTGGGTAAGAGCTGACATCAATTTATAATAACCCACAGAAAAAAATTACCCCAAGTTTAAAACTGCCTGATGCTCATTTCTCCCATATGGACACAGCCAAAGTTACCAACCAGAACTCTCATTTTGGAATTCCAGGCATACAAAGTTTCCTGGAGAATGGATTCACAATGAATACACAGCATGACTTACACTTGCCTTTCAGTCAGTAAACTGGAAGTATAACAACAGATGCTTCATCCCCAAAATTATTTCAGATTTCAAAATACACCCAATTTGAAGAGCTATACCAGTTCCTGTGAGATCAGGACAAAGACCATTGAAAATGTAAGAGTTTGAAGGACACAAACTGTCACTTACGTGACCATTGCACAGATCCTCCAGTTTCTGTTTAAGCTAAGAAGGGTTGCCATCTCCTCTTTAGACAGTTCAAAGTCAAACACCTAAAAAGAGAAAACCAGCTGGATTTTACTTCTTTGAACAAATCAAACCAGAAGCACGATTCACGAGATTAAAGAACAAATTTGTATCAGAAAGGATGCTGGGTACAAGTGATGGATTCATGAAACACAGAAAGGAAAAGAAATATTCTTGGGTTTTCCAGACTCTACTGGCAGAGTGAAGAACAGAACAGGATTGTAAAGTGCCTGACAGTGTTATCAGCACACTTTTTCCAACAGCTCTCTCTATTCTTCACTGTAGTTTTCACTGTAGCCCTGACTTCCAGACAAAAAGAGCCCAGCCCTCTTGCTGCAGGAGCCCGTGGCAAGGGTGATAAAGGATCCAAAGCATCCCTGAGGGGCAGCCCCTGCTCACTCCTGATCCCTCACCTGGAAGTTCTCCACAATGCGCTGTGGGGTGACAGATTTGGGAATCACAATCACATTTCTCTGGATCTGGAAGCGGAGGAG